TTTCCTTGTTGTCTATTACATCACCTGCAACTAAAAGACGCTCTTTATTGTATAGCATTTTCTGTAAACCTATTGTACCGTGACTTATCTTATGACTCCTGTATGTTCCCATCACCATTGGCTCCGTGTTATTCATCACTGTGCTCCCCAGACAATGACCCTCACATGCAGCTTTTTACCTGAGGCTGTACAAAGTGATGTAGCCGTAAACCGAGGTCACTGCAGGGGTCAGAGAGAAGGCACCAGCATGATGTGAGAGTAGATCCCACCAGATGATCATTAGAGGAGAGATGAAGGAGACAGTGTCCAATTCCCTGTATACTAACTCTGGACTTACACTATTTTTTCAGCAAATACAGAAAATACAGAAAATGTTAAATAAGTTATTCGCTGAAAAATGTATGTATTTCCTATTCTCCTTGACTATAATATAATAGTATAATGTTGAACCATGCTCGCCAAACTGCAGACTCCACTCTCTGAGAGGCTATTTGTTGTGAATGTGTTTTTTGTATCTCTTTATATTTATGTAGCAAAGAGTGTTTCTGCAAATGCTACATGTTTACTATGCACCTAAAATTTAGCTATAAAACATCAACTTAAAATGGAAAAAAAAAAAAGCTTGTACCTTTCCAGGGGCACTTACGACAGCTGGTTTGTTAATATTTCAACTTCCCGGCATCTAGCACTAAACTTGAGTGCAAGGTATATTTTGTCGCCCCTAACTCAGCAAAGTAAACAACGACTGTATCTATAATTTATCTCTGCTTCTGCACATTTTGGGAATAAATTTTACTGCTAGCTTGAATGGCTGCAGAAATCACGCCATCGCATCCGGTCGTAGTTTTTACATGTTGAAACACACCGGACAAAGGGTGGAAACGCACTTATCTCTTGTGCCATGCCACTAATTGTGTGAGGACGGGCTGCGGCAGTAAACCGGAGGTCACCTTGTGTTTGGCCCCAGCTGATAAGGCCTAATGTTGTCCTTTATGTGATGCCACGCTCTCCAAGGGCCTCCTCCGCAGCTTGCAACACGGATCAATAGTCCAAATCAAATGCCCTCATTATGGCACCCATGGCCGTCTGAGGAGGTTGGCAATTGCCTTTTATGTTATTGATTCTATTTTTATCATACTTTTGGAATTTTAGGATTTCCTATGGCATGTTTAGGTTCTAATCTTTTTTTTATGCTAGTGGCTTTGGTTTGGTCTTTTTCTATTGTACATATATTAAGATTCCTTTTTGTTGTACATAATATTCCTTATATCTTTTCCTTTTATACTTTTTAACAGTTTGAACATTTCCTTAACTATTTGCACAGCTTGACTGATCTTAGTGAGTCCAAATTTAAAGTGATTGTCTGGAGTTTGTCAGAAATAAGAGACCCAAGCTCCTCCCCCTTCCTTTCTGATTGGTCTACCCCTACTTTTCCGTAACAATAAATCAACACATTCAAATTTTAATGTTTGATGACAAAAATAATGTTTTAATGCACAAAAAAAGCAATCGCGGTAAACCCGGAAGTAGCTTTTATCATTAATTGAACATTATAGGACACATCTGCAGAGGATCTGATTATGGATATAGGTTCAGTATATACATGATTATGGATATAGGTTCAGTAGATAAATGATTATGGATATAGGTTCAGTATATAAATGATTATGGATATAGGTTCAGTAGATAAATGATTATGGATATAGGTTCAGTATATAAATGGGTAACTCAGCGCGGATGTTCAGAATTCTTTGTTCAGTTTTCATGTAGTTCCAGAGCCTATTCGGAGGCTCCGTGCAAACAAACAACTGAGCATGCGCACAGATACGAGCATCAGCGCCGATGATTGACAGCCCTTGGCATCACTTGATTGGTTAACGTGGACGGCATTGTGGATTTTGAGCTATAGCTAAGAGAAGGGAAGGCGGGACTTACCCATAATATTAGAATTCATAAAATGACTATTTTATATCAACATTTAAGCCCAATTTAAAAAGATTATTAAAATGTGTAATTCATTTAGAGTTCACTTAAACATGTACAGGTCTCCTTTGTGAGATATAGTACATTTACCTTAATCATTTTATCTTATCTTATCATTGTGCACCAGACTTTGTTTTGGTTCTTAATTATGAACTATTGACGCTGCAAAATATGAGACAATTGCTTTAACTATAGACAAAATGTATATGGTTTTGGTTTATATATATTCTGATTCACTAAAAATAGGATTTGGGAATGAAGGCAGGTTTTGTCTTGTGAGAAAACAAGACAACCAAAATACACTCAAATCAAAATCAAGAACTAGACAATTCCCATTCATGATAATCAATGAATCACAACTAAGTAATAAACAAATTGTTGGTTTGAACCACACACAGATAACCCCTGCTGATGTGTGCCGACTCCGACAGAGCGGTAATCCGAATCTGAATTCTTTTTTTAGTTTTATTTATTCTAATCACAGCAGAACAATCACACCTTGTCTGTATGAAGATGTTCTCACTTTAGCTTGTTCTGGTCAAATGTATTCAAAGGTCACACCTGACACCCGCCTGTTGTGATCCAACCCAGTGGTTTGTGGGATTACTGATTTCATAATATTGTTTTTTTTGTTAATTACTACATTATCTCTATGCAATATTCTTTGATACGTAAATAATATTTTAGGTTAAATTAAATCAAATAGCACATGAAATTTCTCAAATAATCACACCTTCTCTTCAAGTTATTACTACTCTACATGTTGTTCTTCTGTGGGGGACACAAGTCGGACCGAGTAGAACCCTGATCTAAACAACAATGGAATAATAATCCAACTAATCAATTATCAATAAATGTAGTAGTAATTTAATTAAAATACGTAAACTGTGAGTAGTGGGTCCAGTCGGGTATTGGTCTGGATACTCAAGTTGTAGATTATAGAATTTGTGTCTAAAGGTTTTGTCTTTGTTTGTCTATGTTTCTAAACTGTTTGTTGTGTTCAATTAGACAAAAATAGTAGTAGTTTAATTCATATATGTCCCTTGAAATAAGTACTTTAAGGCGAGGCAAGGAAAGTTTATTTGTATAGCACAATTCATACACAAGGCAACTCAAAGTACTGAATAAAACAAGACAACACAATATATTGATATCGTGATCAATTATCGATATGCTTTGCCAAGTATCAATACAAAATATATATATATTTTTTTTTTTTTTATTAGTATCAATAATTAATTCATGGCATCTTCATTCCATTCATCATGGAATAAAGTGTATTTTTTCACTTAACATTTTTCTTTTATTCATGCCAATATGTGCTGTATTTGAATCCAGACTCAAGAATTAGTTAATAACTTACACTTATAACTATGTCGTGTTTATTCAGATTGCTTTACTAAAAGATTTCTATAAAAGTATTTTTCTGACCAATATATCGATAATTGTCATAATGTGATATAATCGTTATTGTGAGCTTTGTATCGCGTATCGTATCGTATCGTGAGGTACCCGAGGTTCCCACCCCTAATAGAGACAGTCACACAAGACATTAGAATCATAAATAATCACAATACATTAATATAGATAAAATCCCTCGGTTGTATGCACAGCTAAACAGAACTTTTTAGCAAGTTAGTTTTTTCAAGACAATCAATGAACTCATGATAACGTGTGTAAAAAGTTTCACACTTCTGGCCCTCAAATCCATTATCTTGTGAAGCTATTACATAACATTAAATTAGCCACGTTTAAGGTTACCGCGCTGGATTTGTCTCCGCTGACATTTCCAAACGCTCACCACAGTTATAATCGGATGAAATTAGGATTTTCAGGTAAAATGTCATCCCCATGAAGCATAGCATTTGGCATTCTTAAAACCCATTCTTTACTTCATCAGGAGAATGTGCAGCCTCCTAATGTTAAGTGAATGTTGATCCTGAGACGGCAGCAAACAGCTTGACCTTTTCATGGCGAGTGGAAAGAACCAGCGTGTTTCCTTGATTTGTTTGCGAGAGGAAAACCCCTGTGATCAGTCCGAGGACAATTACGGGAGTACGTGGACCCAAACCGTGGGTCTTCACCTTACGAAAACCGCTTGTGTCCGGTCAGTCCTCTCTTTTGCCAAGGTCTCCCCAT